TCAGAGGAAAGCATGCCAAATGGGAAGACAAGTTTGCACTCCACTCAAAGGCTTTAACTTGTGCCTGGCTTTTAGGCTTTAAACTGTCTTTGACTTGGAGGTGGGGTTTCACCGGGACCTGCCCCAATCTGCCTAGGCATTTGGCTGCCTCCTGTCACTATCATTCCCCCACTCCAAAGAGGTACATCTAACTGCCATTAGAATAAGGATGAAGACCAATCTTAACTGCTTCCTGCTGACGGGGTGCTGTTTTGGGAAAACAGCAGTCAGATCTCCCTCAGAGGTCTATCCAAGGGTCCCCAGTAAAATGGAGCCATCGTCCGAGGCTCCAGTTACATGATCATTTGGAGTTTGATGTCCTCTCAGCAAGAAGAAACAATTCAGGTTATTTGAAGACATATTTCAAAATGAAACAAGGCTGCCAATACACTCAGATAACTGGTGGCTATAGTTACGCCTGCTAAGATTTGGGTACATGAGACTTGGCTTTGGTTAGCGCCCTTGTTCTCATTTTCCCAAAGAAACCTCCAGGTTATGAGCACCCTGTTTACTCCTGTCACCTGGCAGGATTTGTAGAATGCCCAGAATTACAATATTGATCCAGGTTTTTACATTACCCATCCCTTCTGTCTCTTCTGAGCTGCAGTGGGAGATCACTGGTTGGTTCACAGCAACAAGCAGGGCTAGTCTAAAATGTAGGCAAAAACTTGAAAACAACTAATGAGATTAGAATTTAATGACGAGCGTATGATAAGTTTTGAAACATAACTTTTCTTTCTCCAGTCCTTATTTTTATTAAAGACAAATCATGATAGGACTGAGTTGTTTGCAAAATAAATTTTGGTCTTATGCTTGCCTCTTATACTGATTATTATCTATATTTATACTGATTATTTACATAAAGTATAGCAGGAATAATTATTTTTCACATGGGCTTTTAAACTTGGCTTTGATGAAACTCTGTTCCACAAGAAATCTCAGATAAGACCTTTTAAAGCCAAGCCCAGCCATGGGTTTATGCCCTCAAATACCTGTGAATTGGGTAAATTCCACTCTTCTTGAAGTCCCAAGATAACATGGGGATCCTGGGCCTGTTAGAAAGTAACCTTCTTTACTCACCACAGGTTAGGAACCCTGTACAGGGACAGTGTTGACAAGGTATGAGAGCATTTTTCCCAGGGAGGGTTTTATTGGCGCTGCAAGTCAAACTTGATTCCCTAAAGGAAAGCGTATCATTCCAGTCAAAGCCTTGGTAAAACAACCAGTGTTTCCAATTGTATCCCATTGCAAAAGAAAATGTATTCTTATTGCACTGATGCAAGTAACTGTATTCCCATAAGTTAAGAATACTCACAAATAATTTCCAAATTCTAGAGAAACCAGGCAGAGATAAACAAATATGCTTCAAATTTTGTTCACAGGAGTATAATTTACTCAATTATTAAAGGATGTAAATGACTCAAAATAAAAGCTTCCTTGACTCTGAAAAACAAAACAAGGATCAGCAATGTTTTAAGCAAAAAAAAAAAATTTTTTTTAAGATTACTTCAGTTTTCTGTTAGTTCAGTCAATTAAGTGAACTCTTATTCTGCTTGATATTCATGAACATTTTGGCTCTTGATGAGTCCTGTACATTTTCCTCTATTCCAATGTCACAATCTTCAAAGTTACCAGAATCCTGTATTTCAGAGCTTCTGTCAAAGTCCTATAGCTGATTATAAACCATCTTTTGAAAAGGATAAAAGCAAGACAACAATTGTCTGTGAATGACAAAATTTCCTTAAGGTTGTTAGGGTCAAAAACACAATTGACAAAGGAATTTGGTTATTTCTGTGGTTGACAATAGCTTAACATAGTAACCTTAATTGTGATTGCTAGCATATACTCAGACATTAGAATTTTAGAAATCCCATGCAATTTTGGAACATATGTTAATATTATTCACTAAAATATAACCTGAAGAGGATTAAACATTATTTTGGCAATCCCATATAACTAAACGTGTCAAATAACCCTGTTTACCTCTCTTTTGGATGCTCCAGGGGCCTCTGTAGCACCCAAAAGTTAGGGATTGGAAAAGACAACCTCGAAACTGAAGTTCAATTTGGGAAGTCTGTGAAATATGTTAAAGGTTTAAAACACTTGATATTATGAAATAAAATTTCAGATTACCATAAGTCATTTATCTTAGCCAAAATGATGACTCAAAAATTTTAAACAAGGCAAAAACCTTTACTCATTAAGAGGGAAGACTTAGCTTTCCAAACAATCT